TGAGGCGTGACAACTACTAACAAATGCATGGCCCCCTATCTGTGGTGGTGCTTGTAACATCTTTAATAACTTTCATTTTTTAAAGATTTTAAGAGAGAGAACGAGCAAGGGGAGGGGCAGAGAGAAGCAGACTCCCCGCTGAGCAGGGAGCCCAACATGGAACTCGATCCCAGGACCCCAAGAACATGACCTGAGCCAAAGGCAGATGCTTAACCGACTGAGCCACCCAGGTGCCCCATAACCAGAGTTTTTAGAGCTGTTAAAAAAAATACAGTTCTCTGAGATTTATAATGCGCCCTTGGGTTGGAAGGAAGTCTTCTGGCTGGGCTTCTATGTTTTCAAGAGCAAGACTGAGAACAGCTAGACTTGAAAAGCAAGTATTACTTAATCTCCCTCCGGCAGGTGACTGAGACAAAAAATCAGCAGCACCTGTTTGAAAGAGTTCTGAAGCGCTGGCTGCTCCCTTCCATTTCCAGTATGAGAAAGACCTGAAGACCTGCAAGCAGGCTCATGTAGAATCCCAGCTCCTTCTGGTTCCCTATCTGTGCCTGGGAGTTCCGTGGACTGGCTCCCACTCAGCAAGGAAAAGGCAGGGGATGGTTTCTCATTCATTCCTTCCATTGTCTCCCCTCAAACTCTAATCTCTCCTGAGCCTCTTTTCAGCCACCAGCAGTAAAGTGGCAAGAAAAACTGTGAAACCCAATTGCTTTTTTTTCCACCATGGACAGAATTCGGGGTGGGTTAAGAAGACTATAAGACTAACATAGTCAAGCTGGAACTCTAGGCTCTCCTCCTAATCTCCCCAACACAAAGATTGACAGCAGGTTTCAGGGAGCAATACTGCAGACAGAAAAAGCACTCTCTTGTCCCACACCGAGACCAGTATTCACACCTCCTGGGAAAGACAAGAGCAAGGACAGAAATTGTAAGGAAAAGAGACTAACGCTGGTTTCTCAGGGGGAGAGCAAAACTAGTGTCCTTCCTATCTCCATGTAAGAATGCTTCTTAGCAATTAAAAAGAACTTTCTCATCTGGATGTATCCAAAGACGTTTCACGAATACATATTGGCATAATATATATTGAACCTGGACTTTTTTTTTATAGAATATTTGTTGAAAAAGTTTCCCAAAGCATCCGTATTGTTCATGTTTAGTCAAAAGACAATCAGAACCAAGTTTGGCAGGATGAACTCCAATGAAAAAAGCAGAGATAATCTATAGATTTTCATCCCACCATAATTTTCCATATTAGCTATTTCAGAAATCATGTGCAATATTCTAATGGCATTTTCTCTTTATACTTGGAGTATTATTTTAGAAGGCCATCATTTTAATGAACAAATATTTCTTCTCCCAGTTCATCAAACAAGAGCGTGTATACGAATGGCTTAGGTCTAAACAATGGTTTAAAATCTGGGAATAGTACATGGAAGATGCTGAATTGAGACTAGTTGTAGAATAACAATGAAGAATCCTTCTACCCTAAGATGTATTACTTCAGTAATGATGGTTTTTTGGGGTTTTTTTTGTTTGTTTTTTTAGCTAAACTCTATGCCCAACATGGGACTAGAACTCATGATCCTGAGATCAGAAGCCACACATTCAATGGGCTGAGCCAGCCAGGCACCTCCCCCTGTTAAAGCTCTAAAGGTTAACCTCCTGCCAAGTTCCAGATAGGCAGTTCAAACTGTAAGTCTTTTAACTGGAAGAACATGACATCTTTTGGGGCTGGGGTGCGGAGGGGAGCGCTGTGGAATTTTCTCAAAAATACCACTTACGCACAATAAAAGCAGCTTAACAGATGGATGTGAAGGTGCTTAAGAGTGGACTGGGCTGTGAGGTGAGTGGAAGGAAATGCTAAGGGAGCGAGAGACAAAGAACGGCCTGGGGAGAACGCAATGATCTGGGAAGTTAAGTTTATGACAGCTAGATACAGGCAAATTATATGGTAATGCAAATATTTATTTTCAGCTTCCATTTGGCAGAAGACAGGCCAAATTCCAAGGATCATTAATGAACACCACATGAAATATCCATCTTAGAGGAAATATGTTCTGGTTTGGTTGTACATGACTCCCAAGTATTTAAGGGCATGCACCAGTTCTGTGGTTTACGAAAGGAAAGTAATCTAATAAACATATAAAAGTTGATTAGGCCTGGGAAAAAAAAAAAAAACAGCTCTTTTTTCAAGTGGAGTTTTGCTTTCAGTGTTTAAGTTAGAATCAAGACTATTGGGCGCCTGGGTGGTTCAGTGGGTTAAAGCCTCTCTCTGCCTTCGGCTCAGGTCACGATCTTGGGGTCCTGGGGTCGAGTCCCGCATCGGACTCTCTGCTCAAAAGGGAGCCTGCTTCTTCCTCTCTCTCTCTGCCTGCCTCTCTGCCTACTTGTGATCTCTGTCTGTCAAATAAATAAATAAATAAAATCTTTGGGGGAAAAAAAAAGTTACAATCAAGACTATATACCAAATCAGTATCAAGTGAATGATTATGTATTGGGAGAGCAGAAACTTCAAACAGAACATGACTATAAAAAAGGGAGTACAATGCACTGCGCACACCAAATTGTAGGAGAGACAGAAAAATGGCTAATGTCAATAGCTGTTTATTAATTGATGAAAATGTCAGAACCAATAGTCATTTAAGTGTGGCTTAACTGAGTGATTTGGTCACCTATTACGAATGAGCCCTATGTTAGCCAAAGATGACTTTTCAATGTTCAACTTTCTATATAGCCTATCCCAAAGAGCTTTCATGAAATTCTTCAGTTTCAGGCATATCCTAAATGGGAATAATAGCACCAGAAACAATAACACAATCTCTGTAGTATTAGCAAAAATGGACCCCACTTGCCCTCCACCCTAAAATACTATCAAGCTGATTATATGGTCCTATTTTAATAACAAAATAAAATACCTCCTATAAAACTTTCATAGTCTAGGAGAAGTTTGTGAATCACATTATCTAGTTGGGGCGCCTGGGTGGGTTAAAGCCTCTGCCTTCGGCTCAAGATTGTGATCCCAGGGTCCTGGGATCGAGCCCCGCGCTGGGCTCTCTGCTCGGCGGGGAGCCTGCTTCCTCCTCTCTCTCTGCCTGCCTCTCTGCCTACTTGTGATCTGTCAAATAAATAAATAAAATCTTTAAAAAAAATTATCTAGTCAATATGTCAGACATCAAGTAAATTTGTTTTAAGGTCTTTTGAGATAACCCCCTTGAAAGAACTAGGTTCATTCAATTTTATACACCTATAGACTGAGTCTAGTGTTTGTTCACAAAAAGTACTGAGCAAGTATTGACAAGCTGACAATATTAATTTGTGACAATTTGTGATAAATAATCTGGATCAAGAAAGTCCTGAAAAGAAAACACAGCAGTTAAAATAAATCACCCATTCAAGACTAACATGATATTCAAGAATGGTTGTTTTCTAGAAAATTTTAAAATCCCCACAATACTGTTACGTTTCCAGAGTCAAGCATGCAATGGAATGGTGAGTACTGAATTTTATGCTGGTGGTTACCTCGAGGCTCAGAACACAAAAAAGACCTCAATTGTTCTTACTTGGACCTAAGTCATATGTTACAATGTTATTCTGATGAACAGGATGGTGCACGTGAATGCTTGTTAGATTATTCTCTTATCCACCCATTTAAAAATTAAAAAGAAAAAATTAGACAGCAGCAGCCCCTCGCGGGAACAATCAGCAGTGTATTGGTGCATCAGCTAATGACCTATTTTATGGATGTAATTCATCTGAAGAAAATGATCAACAGATGATCCATGCATCTTTTATAATTTTCAATATGTAGTTGTGATATTTCTTACTTAGATTTTTAATAAAATATATTTCCAAAAAAGAAGTGGCAATTTACTTGAGGAAATTTCTAATAGAAGAAAATTGCCTTATATTGCCTGATTTTGTCAAAGCTGCTTGAAGTTCCAACCTTTTACCATCAATTACTGATTGTAAACTGACACAGCAGAAAAGACCTGGAAGTAGAGTCACAAGAATTCTGTTTATTTTTACAGCAAACACTTTCACGGCATTTGACAAAACTCAGAAGTATCTCGTTGAAATGGGTTCAGATCTGTGAAACTAATCCAGCCAGGGTAAAGTCTTTACTTAGGGGGGAAAAAAAAAGAATGGAAATGTGATAACCAAGATACATGTCACGTAATAGCAAAATATAAAAATAGAAGCAAAGTGACAGAATGAAAAAAACTGTGAAGCAATGGATTTAAGAAACTCTGATTCTATCTGTCTTCCTTGTTGCTAATGGTCCTCTTTGTCCTCCATTGTTATAAATGTAAAACAGGTAAGATACTAAAGAAAGGCCTTGTAAGACTTACTACGAGGTTAACAAGAATTATTGAAAAAGTGTTCAAATACTTTATAAATACTATTAACAAAAATATCTATTTTATTATGCTTTTTGTCTTTAAGTGAAGCCGTCCTTTGAAAAGCACACTGTTTCTTAATATGGTTTCAAATCTTAACTAGACAGGTGTCAGCTTTCTTCCAAAGCGACAGTCCCAGCACCACACTACGTCTGCTGAAGACCGACGATGCCAGAGCTGAGCTACCTGAGGGAGAGACAGGGAAGGCCTCACAACTGGAAAGTTGCTGCACTCGGTCACGTAACAGATCATCCAAATGACATACGTGTGAGTCCAGCACTTTCAAGTATCACTTTGAAATCATACTCCATCTCAGTGTGAGATTTCTCATATAAACAGGAAGGATTTAATTTCTGTAAATGTTTGCAGGGCCAGCTAGTTCTTTAAATCAACTTTTTTCTCCTAAGAGAGCTGCTCCAGCGAAGAACAGTTTCTTACACGTCCGTGTTCCAGATTCAAAAAGAAATTCAACATTTTTCTGTGAAAAGACAGAAATACTCAAGTACTGTGAAGGCTCCCTGGAACCGTGGGTTGCCCGCCTATTCCAAGCACGTAATCACTCCCTCTGGATCAGGCCCCGATGGATGAGAACTGCTCTCCAGGCACTCAGAGCTCGTCAGCCGCGTTGTTCACCTTTGGTAATCCACAGTCTTCACTGGCATGGCAGCTCTGAAGGATGCCCTTGTAGTGGTCCTTCAGATCCTCGTACAAGGAGGCAGTTTCCTGGGAGTAAGCCAACGGTAACACCTTCTCATTCAACAGCATTTGCACTCGAAATTCCTCCTTAGGAGTCTTAGCATTTGTACAGTGGTAAAGCACAAATATTAGGTTCGAGGCGTAGGGCACGATATGGCCACTCCGGAACTTGCGATGCAACTGTTCCTTATAATTGTAAGCTGTTAGGGGCTCCTTGTCTTTGAAGTAGCCCATGAGAGAGAGCAGTGGCAGAAGGGTCTCTGCATGACCAAACTGAAGGATGACTGGAGAGGAAATTGGCTGAGACCTTCAAAAACAAATGGAGAGAAAGTATGTATATAGACTCAGGTCATGGAAGATGGTATCTACGGTAATGAGAAGCAGTGTACAATGCCCTCGTTTTTTAAATCTTTATATACACAAGTCAACAATATGATTAAAATTCTGTGTGGCCAAGAACTAAACTGTTTATATTCCGTTCGGTTCCGAATTCAGGATCCCTGCGGTACTGCGCATCCATCTAAAACACCGCACACTCGCTATTCTCTAGGTTCACAGACAGAAGAGAGTTTTTAATTAGGAGATTAAGGAAGCAGATGTGTATTTCAAAATTGTACTGCTTTTCCATGAATGAAACTGGGCAAACTGGCTCTTAGTCGATATAAATTATTCCAGGGAGGTCTTCTGAATGAACTGCAAATGCTATTTTATTTGCCTCTAGGAAATAAAGACAAGCAATATTCAATAAATCTCCTGGTTGGAACCCAGTCTGAACAGTGAACGGTAACTCATGTAATCTTTCAATGTTTTACGAGACCTGACTTGGGCACTGAATTTGGAAGACAGCCACGAAAGGGTAGAGATGCAACCTATTCTCACTGGTTTACTGGGTCTGTGGCTGGGAGCAGAGTTTATGCAATGGGAGAAGTACAACAGCTTTTTCAACACTGCAAGCTAAGTTACCTTTAATTCCAAGTTTTCTGGGGTTTTTTTGTTTTTCGTTGTTGTTGTTGTTGGGTAAAGCCTTTTTTAAAATAAGCAGCAGCAAATGACGGCTTAGTCTTTCCCCAACTTTAATAGGAAGAATATGACTTTTTTCTTGAACATAATTTGTAAATCTCTTCAACTACAAGTAACCATCTGACTTCCTGCTGCCATCCCACACATGGGACTATAAACTTAGCGCTGGGTTTTCTGGGAGGCCAGCAGAATCTGCATCAGAGTCCCCACAAAATACAGATGGAACTAGAGAGTAGGTCCAAAACTCACAGAAACATTTACAAATAACTGTAGGGAAAAGTTTTCTCATTGAATCACAAAGAGCCTCAAGACCTGAATATTATTATTGGTGTCTGTGAGGAAGAGTGCAGCGGGAAGCCACACAGCATGAGGACAGATCTAGTATTCATCTGGTGAGTACAAGAGAGGACTAGCACAGGCCTCTCCTGAGACTGTGGAAATCTAGTCCCTGTGAGCTCCCACAACAGCCACTCCAAGGCCCCATTCCAGGACTGAGGCCACAGACATGAGAAACTCCTAGGAGCGGGCTCTACACTGAGCCAGACAGGGACAGCAAAGACCAAGGGACAAGCAGGTCGGGATAAAAGTCAGGGGAGGGGATCAGAGCCAGAAAATCTCAGAAAGGCACCCAGCAGACTTCTGAACAGCGCATACACACAATACCGGAAAGGGAGCTCCATGAGTTTAGAAAAGCAATCTGAGGTCTTTATAGAATAAGAATCTGATTTTAAAAGATGTACACTTTTTTTTTTAATTTAATGTTTCTATTTAAGTCTATTATAAATATCTTCTAAAATCACTGTACTCCTCTCCAATTCAGAAAGGGAAGGAAGTATACATAGCCTGTGTTTTTGGCTTCAACTTAATTGTTTGCAACCTCTTTTATTATTTTTCTGTATCCTATTTTAAATGTCTCATTATTTCTGTGATCAATTTTAGCTAATTTCTTAGTTATGTGTGCTTTAATGGGAACATGTCTGTCAACAAAAATAGAAATTTATAAATAGGAAGTCAACTTGTATGCATAATGCTCATCCAAAAGGTAAACCTCTCTTGTACTCCACAATCCATTTATCAACTTTTTCAGTTCCTTCAATAAATTAACCCTCTCTGGCCTGTAAAAAAAAAAAAAAAGAAAGAAAAAAGAAAAAAGAAAAAAAGCAATCTGACATGAGGTCTTTTCTAATTGTTCAGGGAAACCAAGTTCACATTAAAATGAGCAAGAGAAAAGTAAACAGAAGAATAGGGAGCAGAAAAAAACCCCTATAAAAAATAAAAATAGGGACGCCTGGGTGGCTCAGTTGGTTAAGCAGCTGCCTTCGGCTCAGGTCATGATCCCAGCTTCCTGGGATGGAGTCCTGCATCGGGCTCCTTGCTCGGCAGGGAGCCTGCTTCTCCCTCTGCCTCTGCCTGCCACTCTGTTTGCCTGTGCTTGCTCGCTGTCTCTCTCTCTCTCTCTGACAAATAAATAAATAAAATCTTAAAAAAAAATAAAAATAAAAATACAGAGTACTAGGAATACATACTCAAAAAATACATAGAAGCTGTAACATACTATTACACAATCATCCACTATTCTGAGATTAATATTCTCTAAAAGGGAAATTTTAAAGACATTCATCAACAGGTGACTGTAAGCCCCTTTTCTTAACTGGTATATCCTAATTAGGTCATTTAAAGTATCTAAAACCTGTATTTATTTTCAAGAAGCATCCCTTTAGGCCCAAAGTTACAAAGCAGTATCATTCAGAACACAATTCTATTTGCTTTGACCTGCATAACTATTTTTAAATTTTGCATTATTTGTCAGTATATAAAGATAGGGTGATTTCAGATTCTTCACAATCCAAATTTTTCACTCCTCTTGAAACCCTGAAAGATCTGACAATATATACTTCCATAAGGCAATAATCAGCTGAACAGGAATCAGGTTACTCCAGAAGAGGACATACGGCACACTGTCTAACCAAGGATGGGTTCATTTGTTACTTGCCTTGCCTTTATGTATTTGAGCATACGCAAGTCAAAGCTAACAACAGCACTGTCACAGTGTAAATATAATGGAATTTAATAGTAATACAAATTAAAGAAAGTAAGTAATGTAAATATACAGTTAGTTGACCCTTGAACAATGTGGGGGTTAGGGACGCCAACCCTCTGAGCAGGCAAACATCTGTGTAGGCCCCATGCCCAAAGTGGGGCTCGAACTCACAACCCTGAGATCAAGAGTCACACAGTCTATGGACTAGGCCAGCCAGGCACCCCCATATATAACATTCTGCCTCCCCACAAACCTAACTACTGATAGTCTGCTGTTAACTGGAAGACTTACTGATAACATAAACAGTTGACTGACACAGTTTGTAGTTTTATATACTGAATTCTTATAATAAAGAGAAAATAAAATGTTATTTTAAAAAATCATAAGAGGAAATATATACACAGCACTGTGAATTTATTTTTAAAAATGCACATGTATGTGAACCCACAGTTAGAACTTGTGTTGTTCTGGCTTACATTTTAAGCCCTCCCACCAGAAGGAAGCAAGCTCAAAGCGAGGCACAACCCTTGGCCTAATGCCCACTACTGTGATCTAGGAGATCCAACAGGATGGACAAGAGGTCAGGAAGGACACAGCAACACCCCCGTGGTCTCAGAGAAAGACCTGACTGACAGACGAACTCCAAAAAACTGGGAGCAGGATGAAAGACCATATATAATACAAAATAGTCTAGTTTCAACAAGTTACATCAAAATGATCAATGAACTACTTGACATTCTTTTTTTCTATCAAGTCTTCAAAATGTAGTGCATACTTTACACTTAGAGCACATCTCCATTCAGACCAGCCCCCTTTTCAAGTGCTGAATAATGCACACGGGGCTGGTAGTACTGTTGCTGGTGCGGGATAGGGTACACAGCCACACGTTCTTAGACTTGGCGGCACTCAATCAAATACAGAAAGAGAGAAAAAAAGATACAAGACAAATAACAAACACACATAAAAACGTGTGCACTGGAGAAGGGGAAAAAACCAATAAGGCTATGTACAAATCATGAGAGAAGTTCTAGTAATTACATCCGAGCTACAGAAGAAAATTAAATTAGGTTGTGACCCAAATTTAAGTTTTTAAAATTAATTTATTTATTAAAGACGGAAGCCGCCCAAGTGTCCATCGATAGATGAATGGATAGAGATGTGTTATATACAAGTGATATAAACACACAATGGAACATTATTCAGCCATAAAAAAGGACGAGATCTGGCCATTTGTGACAATATGGATGGACCCAGAGTTTATTATGCTAAATAAAATAAATCAGACAGAAAAAGACAGGAACTATATTTCACTCATAGGTGAAATTTAAGAAACAAATAAACAAACACAAAAAAAGAGATTAAAATACAGACTCTTGAATACAGAAAACAAACTGGTAGTTAGTTGCCAAAGGGGAGGTGGCTGGGCATTATAGATGTGACAGATAAAAGTGATCAGGAGGTACAAACTTCCAGTTACAAAATAAATAAGCCATGGGGTGATGAAAAGTACACTATTAGGAATACAGTCAGTATGACAGTAATAACGTTGTATGTGTAAGTAAAATGAACGACAGCAATGACACGAGGGACAGGAAGGGAGAATTAGAAATATTTTATTACAAGGTACTTGCACTAACCATGAAGTGGTACAGTGTTATTTGAAAGTAGACTTAGATTAGTTGTAAAGGCGTACTGCAAATTGTAGGAAAAAACCACCAAAAAAAAAAAAAAGAAGAAAGAAAGAAAGGAAGGAAGACAGAAAGACAGCTGATATGCTAAGGAATGAGAGGAAATTGAATGATATAAAATGTTCAACTGAAACCACAAAAGGCAACTCTTTTTCAAGTGTGAAAGACAAAACAAAACAAAACAAAACAAAAAAAAACCCCAAAAAACCAGGAACAAAGAATAAGGGCAACAAATAGGTAATAGTAACAAACATGGTAGATATTAATTCAACTATATCAATAATCAATAACTATGTCAAAGTCAATAGACAAAATATACCAAAATTAAAAGAGATTGTCAGAGTGGATCAAAAACAAGGCCCCAATTATATGCTGCCTATGAGAAACCCACTTTCAATGTAAAGACACATACCAATTAAAAGTAAACGTGAGAAAGACAGAACATGCTAATTAACACTTATCAAAAGAAAGCAGGAATAACTAAATAAGTTTCAGACAGAGCCGACTGCAGAGCAAGGCAAGTTATTAAGGATGAAGAGGGATATTACATATTGACAA